GAGTTCATTAGTGTAGTCGCCGCGGGTAATAAAATCATCGATGCCATGGAAATATTTAATTCGAGGATTATTAATCTCTTCACTGATGAAAATAGCCCGATTTCAAAAACTAGTTCAGCCCAAGATTATAAAAAAAATATAAATGAAAATCCAAACTATAAACTTCCAGGATATAATGTTCCCGAGTTAAAGAAAAAACTCAGAACTACCATCGACGAAGGATTTAATAAAATTTATCAATCATGGAAAGATAGCCAGCCGAAGCCTATTATCCTCACTTATAATAATTCTCCCGACGGCGACGGTAGACATATCTCACCGAACAATGTGAATATTTCATCGGTGATCGCACTTAATTTAACGTGTGATGTAATCGAAGGAAGTTATCAAATTAATATGGAACAATCAAATCAAGCTCGACAAGGTTACATTCTTTATTCATTTTCACCAACAGCACCCCCCGGATTTTTAATTGTTGAGAATCCGACTAATCCAGTCTATATGCAATGTCAAAATGATTTACTAACTAGAATTAATTTTACACTCACCGATCAGTCAAATAATTTGATTGATCTACGTGGTGAAGTATTATCGATTAGTCTGTTTGTGAAAAGCTAACAAATAATTTGGTTAAATAATTTGTATTAATCAGCAGCAGGGAGGGCGAAATGACAACATATTTGCGACGTAGATGGCAGCAATTTCCAGGGTGGTTATGACAATGTATTTGCGACAAAATCGCTAAGGCTCCATTTGTAAAATGGGGTCTTTATTTTTTTTTTTTGGTTAAAATATGAGATTTCGTAGGAAGGTTCCATTTGGCATTCTGAGGCTTTAATCGATTTTGTCGCAAAAATTTGTAGGATTCGCCCTCCCTGCTGCTCGTATGCCTTCGTATGAAAGTTCGGCTCCGGACATTTTAATCCACTTATCGGAAAGTACGCGTACACGATTATGAAATTGCGCGTGAGTCTCTGTGGCTCTTTTTAGATGACTCCCTGAAAAGTTTACGGAAACTTTCAGCTGTCAGCTCATAGTGCCGTAGTAATGCTTTCTTGAGAGCTTCATAATCATCTATTTCAGCGGGTGCCAAATTATGATAAACCTCCTTGGCAGCACCTTGCAAAAATGCCCAAATATTAATAGCCCACTGTTCTTTCGGTATTTGATGTATTAAAGCTAACTTTTCAAACTGGGTTAAAAAGTTATCAATAATTTCGTCCTTGTCGTTGAACATAGGCATAGTTATCTGGACGGTACGTCTATCCTCAGTTCTTCTGCTCGAGCTTCCTAACTGTACGTTCAGTTGTTCGCCCCTCCTGGACTCCTCTTCTATCCTTAGTCTTTCCATGGCTAACGTATGTTCTCTCTCTTTATTCCTTTCCTCTGCCTTCAGTCTAGCTAACTCAAGTTCTTTTTCTCTTTCAGCCTGCAGTCTGGCTACCTCAAATTCTTTTTCTCTTTCAGCCTGCAGTCTGGCTACCTCAAATTCTTTTTCTCTTTCAGCCTGCAGTCTGGCTACCTCAAGTTCTTTTTCTCTTTCCTTCTCGGCTGCCTGCTGTTCTTTGTACTCTTTGAGACTTCGTTCTACAAATTCAGCTAATTGGGTCCCTTCATAACCTAGATCTTCGGATCCAAGAGCTTTGAATTCTCGCGCAAGTTGCCGTAATGTTGCCATTCTTGTCTGTCTTGTCGCTAACTCCCTTACCTAGATTAGCTATACCTAACCTGTTTTCTGCCTTCAAGAAAACAACTTCCCTATAAATATCAACGAATATTCTAACTCAGTAAAGTCTTACCTACAGACTTACTTAAAAATTACACAAGTAATTTAAACGGCTTTAAGGCAGTACCAAACTATAAATTCTCCATAAATTCGTATCGTCTGCAACACATGTGCAAATTACCCTGGTAATACTTCCTTAATGATCTCTTATCGCAAGAGTACTAAGGCAAAATATTTATGGGTTACTTAGATACGGACAACCAACCACGCTTCAGCAATTTCAGGTACGGAATCAACATTTAAGAAATTCACAAATCATGCATAATTTCAAACATATAAGAATAGGTGTTGACTCAATTCACACTCGTGGCTTCTTATTTTTAAAAATATACAAATCTATCAATGATATTGTGCTGTATTTCTTTCAATATATGTTCAGGTCTGCTTTTTCCACTGTTCAACTATCCCGGAACGAGGCTCCCACTTATGTGACAGATTGGCGGCGTGCAAAACACATCAACCTCTTTCACTACGGTTCGTTGCTAGGGAATGACCTCCGTGGTGTGATTTACCCAGTGTGGATAGATAGAAAGAAGGAAGCAGATCACTGAACAAGTATATCGAGGAAATAAACACTACGAGCCACCTTTCAATGAACAAATATAAAATTTAATCAGATTATAAACAGAATTTAAAATGAAAGAAATCAATGACTTAGCTACAAAGAAGGAAAGAATGGTACTAACATGTACTCAAATAAAATACAATACAAATTTCTTTAAACATAAAATTATTTTCATGTTAAATTGCTATCATCATTGCCAATGGGATGTGACCTTTGAGTGTAACGATGAGAGACTTCATCACCTAATTTATGCAGACATCAAGACTTCCGTTTGTCCCTGCTTGTCGATCTTTGTCTAGCTTTTCGTCTTGGACTCTTGTCCGTCTAACTCTGACTTAACAAATGTCTCTGGACTTAGATTTCTGCGTAGAATGTGTTCCCGTCCTATGATTGTTCAGGGATTCCGTGTCCAGGAAGCTGTTTCCTTCAATAAATAAAAGTGTATCGCAATAGACAATAGGTCACATTCCCAAGTATATCTATATTTTTACATTAATTCGGCTCAGAAACAAAAGGCATAAATTCTGCCGCAGTAGCTTCTGTTAGCTAACTGTTATGTTTACATAAACGGTCGATGCTTGTTCTGACCTTAATTCGGGTCACGTTAGGGATGGTCAATTAAATTCAACTCAGCCGTATGAACCCGTATGTACCCCCCCTTGACTTCTTACTCTGTTAAGTTACATATGTCTTAGACCTCCAGATCTAACTATTCTAAAATAGTTTACTCGACCAATTAAATATTACAAACTAGCATATAGATATACACTTAAGTGATCAATTAAATATTACAAACTAGTATATGAATATACATGTAATGTTAGGTCATACTCATTTTAGACAGAGTTAACCCATAAACTATGAAACATTTTCCATCATTTCTTAAATCATTCATGAAAATTCATAATCACTCCTATGTACTCACGATTCAATTACATGCAATCTTTTCAAATAATCTAATGAAATTTTAATTAGATTCACTCTTGCCAATTCTCCAAATGAATTGATAATTAGGAAATCAAAGAATAAAATGTCATGACTAGCATTTCACTAAAATCCTGCAAAATGAAATCATACATACATATATCATATCAAGAATACATTTGCAAAATAGATCAACAAATGAAATAACATATTAAAATCGGGAAACTAAGATTGCGTACCTTTTTGCCGTTTCTTTATGTTTCCACGAACCTCACGTATAGGCCGTCTCCTGAGAGAACTATCCGGCCCCTTACTCAATACGAAAAACGTACTTTTTACGAATTTCGGAGTCAACTAACTTTCCTTGCGAAAGATCGAAGAGACTAAAGAATTTGCCTAAAGTGAAAACCTTTAATTTCGTACATAGTTACGCCCATAAATCCATACTAACCAATCGGAATAGACAGTTTCCTAAACCTGTTCGTAGAATTTTTGGAGTGACAAGAAAACTAAACAACTAATCATGCCGTAATTAATCATTTTCTTTGAGCTATCATCTATAGCCAGATGCCGCCTTTAACCCTGCCGATTTTGGGGAAAGGTCTTATGTCATTCTCTTGTACCATAGCATCTGACTCGGTCATGTTACTTCGGCTAGAACGAATTCCCTTTTGACGTTCAGAGATGAAATGAAAAATAATCATCTAACTATCTCTAGCCCTTTCTACTTCAATTAAATTGACTTTGATACAATTCCTTTAAACAAAGCTTCTAAGATTTTCAAAATTCGACACATCACAGACCTCTTGCCCTATATATATATTGCTTTCTCTATTAAGTTTACAATAATGTTTTTTCTCTAAATAAAATTTCATTTTTAATAGTTTTTTCCCTTTGTTAGCTTTGCATAGTTCCATTTTTCACGTGCAGCTTGCTCATGTAAATAACACTCACTCATTTTTGTAGAAAATATTGTTCTTGTTATTTTATCTGCTGTAGTTCATTTTCTTTTATGTTTTAGTTACAAGTTCATGATTCACTGTCGCTGAAATAGGGGTAGGTTAAGTCTGTCTGCTTCGTCCTGGCCATTTTTCTGACTGAAAATCTTAAAACTTAACTCTGTCGTAAACGACTTTGCAATTCATGAGCAGTCAAAACTTTTGTTTAGAAGTACTAGCCATAACATGATTTTCAAGGCAACTGTTCTGGTAGTCACACTGAGAAGTCATATCCACATCTTCAATTAAGACCTAGTACATTTAATAACCAGAAAGTAACAATCAATTGCAAAGCCCATCTTTAATATTACTTGCCTCGAAAAGATAAAAAATAAGGGACAGTATATACATCACATAAAGTAAAGTTATAGCTTACAATAAATGTTTACTTTGGGGAATTATACAAGACAATTCACGTTTATTGTATCAAAGGGTTATTTCATGGCATGCACGTTGTAATACTGACTGCTCGTAGGTTGGATGTCGAGACACTGTTATAATGTGAGTAAGTGGTGTATGATTTTTAACTTAGCTTTAACAATTTTTCAGTCATATCGCTACGATATCTGCAGTGAGGCAGTTTATAGTGATATCTAGCACCGGGACGTCATACCACAGACATGCAGCATGATGTCCCACCCAGGCACATTATCCTCACACCAGGCCAACCAGTCCTAACTCCAACCTTTTAATGTCAAACGAGGCAGCTGATAGTACCATTTTTGTAAGTCTTTGATATGACTCGACCGGAAATAGAACAAACGACCTCCCGCATCCGAGGCGGACGCTCTAACCACTAGACTACCGGAGCGGTTATCCATAATAAAGTGCTTAATAGGAGTCTATTCTCCTAGGGTTGGCTTGATGACATGAAGTTTGTTATTCACTGCATCGTTCCATGATGCCTGCGTCTTATGACAAAAAGACTCTTTAATACTAAACTTAAAGTCAGTATGAGGTATTTTTGAAATCAACTGGTTCTACGGATAGGACCATTTTAGCAGCTCGATCTGCTTTTTAATTACCTTTCATACAAATATGGCGGGATAACCAACAGTATACTATATTGTGGGAGGTACTCAGTATTTATGATAACCAGTTGATTCTGTATCACTGGATTTTGTTTTTACCAGTTGGTTCCGTAACGCTGGTTTTTATGTTTACCAGTTGATTTCGTATCACTTTATTGTGTGTTTACCAGTTGTTTCCGTACCGCTGGATTCTCCGATTACCAGTTGATTCCGTATCACTAGATTGTATGTCTACCAGTTGGTTCCGTACCGCTGGATTCTCCGATTACCAGTTGATTCCGTATCACTGGATTGTATGTCTACCAGTTGGTTCCGTACCGCTGGATTCTCGATTACCAGTTGATTCCGTATCACTGGATTGTATGTCTACCAGTTGGTTCCATACCGCTGGATTCTCCGATTACCAGTTGATTCCGTACCGCTGAATTTTATGATTATCAGTTGATTCCTTATTACTGGCCCGTTTGTTTACCAGTTGGTTCCATACATTTTACGTTTGCATTGAGGTTCACGCCGCTTAGTATACTTGGGTTCTTCACCTCACTACATGGCACTTGATTAGTCGTTTAGGCTTTCTGATTCCATCACTTCTCTCCATGTCGTTAATCAACCCCGACCTGTTGTAATTGTCAGTTGGTATTTATTTTACGCTGAATTCCGCACCTCAAAACAATGGCCTTTTTTTCATAATTGTCAAATTTGGTTTATATTTTCATTTATCCTTACTATTACAAAGTTCACGCCTCATCTCACTACAGTGAACAGTGATGTTTATAATATTACAATAAGGGTTTTGCATTAGCAACGATTGCTACATAGTAGAACACACTGACATTGATGTAATTATTTACTTTATATGGCATTCCTTGCTGGATGAACACCCATCTTCTAATATTATAACCCTTGAGGTCTCCAACAGGCTCACCATCCAAGTGACACAGGAGATCCATAACAAATTTTATCAGCTGGTAGCTATGCTCAGTCTGTCCATGGAAAACTGTCAAACAACCGGGTTTCAACTTAAACCTCCGTAGCAACAAACACACCAGTAGCATCCATGATGTCCCCTGCCATCGTGGAAAACATGGCTTCAGTTACAGGTACAGTTGTGAATACAGGTAACGTTTGTCCGAATTGTTTGTGCCTCCGGGATCTTTCACAGTCACAACTTTTAAGCTTGTCCGTCACACCATTCACTCTAATGCCTGATAAAGTTAAGGCAAACTTATGGGCGGGCTCACACATTCTTTTTCTACCCTCCTGAATAATTCTTAAAATGGGGGTTTCAATTGTCAGTTGCATACGTACAGTACTGGTCTTGAACTTAGTATTGTCCTAAAAATTACGAACGTTCAACTCACAATAGGACAGTATATTCTCGCTTGGAGCAAGTTCACTAGTGAAATATATCCTCTGGTTAGTACCTCTTTTCCCCAATACTCCTTAAACTTGAGAGACCCGTTGATCGGAGGTAATATGATGAGAACTTTAGACTATTGGTTGAAAAGGGAGAGCTAAATGGATTAAAAGGCGTCATCGAAAACCGTACATTAAGGCTGTGCTATAGTAGGGTAATAAAAACTACACATAAAATTATCTCTCAAATTACAAAGTATCCGAAGGATGTTTTTTTAAATTACCACAAAAGCGGTCGCTTTTCATCGAGATTTTCATGCAATTTTCAGCACAAGTTAATCAATTGTTTAGGGGGGAGGGCACTCATTCATTCGCTGTCCCCAAACAAATCCTCAGCCCTTTAAGGTACTTCCACAATACAGTCAGCAACCGCAGCGACTTAACAGCCAGCTTTTTTGTTTTCAACGATCCGAACAACCATTAAACACTAACCCAAACAAGAATCCTTTCGGAAAATCGTGCTCATCATTTGCCTACCCAGCTCAGAATTGACCGCTTGCAATATTAGCTACTCTATTTAGATTCTGCCACAAAGGAATGCCTGCTTTTAGGTTTTTGAAAAGGCTCCTATGTGGGGCTTAAGGGGACATTGCAAACACGTATGTAATAATCTGAAATCATCTATTGCTCAACTTACTGAAGAAAAGATACATAAAGAACTGTCAGCGGATCACTTTGCTCGGCTTTTTCGTACAAAACCATTTTTTAATTTACACCTGTAGTCCCTGATTCTAGTCGGAAAGAAAATTCCTGGGTCTTTCAGACTAATTAATCACCTTTCCTTCCCACAGGGCGATTCGGTTAACGATATAATTCCAACTCCACAATCAGCGGTACGCTACGAAGGTATTAATTATGCCATCACATTATATAACAGCTTGGTAGAGGTGTTTATGGCAAAAACAGACATATCAAATACTCTCCGCATTCAATTATATGCCCCATGCAATATTCTTGTTTGGTCATTTTAATGTGCAGAACAGGTACTATTTTTACAAATGCTTACCAATGGTGACGCACTAATTTATTTTCCCGCATTTCCTGTCTCGTTATACTGGCTATTTAAAAAAGACTGCATATCTTAGCTATTGTTCAAACAACCTTTAATTCCCTTTATGTTGATGTATAATTGATGGGTGTAATATGGGAATATACAGCTTGGCCTTACTCCAGATGTGCATCTTTCAAAATAATGCTAGCTCCACTTGCTCATTTTCACTTTTGGAACTTCAGAGGTAAATTGTAGAAAAAAAAAGAACCGATACATTTTTTTTTACATTTTATGTATCTGATAATTTATTCATTGCACTTTCAGAAGCTGGTATTTTCTAGTCTGGCAAAATTCATTTTCCCTGTTTTAAAGCTGCCAAAGATAATGTACTTTAGACAAATTCATGTTGATTTTTGGAGCACAAGAGAGCAGTCATTTTAGTTAGCAGTGTTATTAGATCATTTAAAATTTCCAAAAGTACAATATCCAAAGAAATGTCAGCCACATTACATGAAAGAAGCATAGAGGTATACCATTCTCTCCACTGTGCATGTTTTACATGCAAATAACTTCATCTTACATACATCACTCTCAAAAGTATATTAATAACTGGTGAGCGCCACCAAGGGAATGAACTTCCATTTGCTAGATTAGACATTTAGCAATTTTCTTCAATAAAAATCGAACACAAAGTTATATAAAGCACATGAGACATTTCTGACGACTTTTTTTAATACTAGATTCAACTCGTATCCAATGCCAGCATAAGCTTGATAGCTTCCTAACTGAGCCGATATCTGTGTTCCTATGGCTGCGGTTAAAACATTTCCTCGTTTATAACCATCACGTAACTCGGATACAAATTGGATCCCTTGAGAATGTAGGTTCGCCTTACAACGAAAAAAAAAAAAACAACAGAAAAATAGAATAAACTCATACATTTATATATACATGAGAGAGACAGACAGACAGAGATTACTCTCAAAGTGTTGCAGTCCATCATAGGTACTAATTAACTTTGCTTGCACAGTAATTTTCTTGCCAACAGGTTTCGAGTTCCACGCTATCATAGCTCCGTATGCGGTCTCACGCCCTCATCGCATTCAGCTTCATACCACACTATCCAGTTAGAGATAAGGCTCGATCATTGGCTTAAAAACATCCTACACCCAGCTACACAAACCTCATAAACTGGCACAGACTCTACATTAATAGTTCACATCAGACACATTGATTGAGTCGTCTCACCCAGTTTCAATATCCAAATTGACACTTTGCATAGCGCACTTAACCAACAAGAAATATGCGGCATGTACGATAACCATTTTTGTTTCTGTAGTTAAATATATGCACACACTTAACGGCTACATAGACCCTTTTAACACATTCCTTATTCAAAGACTTATTCAAGCCACTCACAAAAGAAAATCTCATGATGTTCGTTTGACAATTGGCATAGTTACACTGGATAGACTACAGTTTCTATGATGCATGCCATCTCAGACCATTTCAGGCGTACCATGTATTCTACTATGTTTACATTGGCTTTCCGTGCCTTTCTCAGAATAGGAGAGATTACAGTGAAAACAACTGAACATCAGGATGACAATTTGATACAATTATCTCAATTCACTTTTTCCACAAGCATCTTAGAATCTCTTTTCGACATTTCAAATACGGTTCGGGACAACCATATATATTATATGTTCCTGCTTAACAAAATCATGCACCATGTCAGAAAGCTCATTTACAAGTATACCTAATCTTCAGGGGTAATACTCTATGACCGCATTTTATGAACCAAAGCAGGCAACCAGTTTCCAGAGTAGAATTTATCACCGAACTTAGAAAGTCCTTCGCTTTTGTGAATTTAATTTGAACCATTTTAAGTCCCATAGTTTCAGAAATGGGTCCGCTTCTGAGGCGGCCTGACAAAATTTTCAGTGACAGCAAAATAAAGCAATTATGCCGCTGAAGATCAGATGCATTTAAGAAATACATAGCGTTAGGCTAAAAAGTCTTAACTTCGTAACACTTCAGTCACTTTTATCTGCGATCGCCATTCTGCCCTTGTGTACTACTTTCTTTTTCAGGTCTCGTGAGTTTCACAGACATAGACTCTTGAGCATCAACCGTGCGTTGCCGATATATATCATTCACTCGACCTGGACTAATCTGTAATTATGTGATTATGATTTTTAACGTGGCTTTAACAATTTTTCGGTCATATCGCTACGATGTGTGCAGGGTGGCAGTTTATAATGTTTTTTTTTTTTTAGCACTGGGGCATCATGCCACAGATGTGTAGCATGATGTCTCACCCAGTCGCATTATCCTGACACCAGTCCGACCAGTCCTAACACCAATC